GGGTATAATTTGTTAGTAATTTTATTATTAATTTCCCCTTCTATCCCGGACAAATATTGTGTTAATTGCTTATATTTACTCATATTTGGTATCTGGACCCAATTCCAAGAGTGGAGCAGATAACTACAAAAAGAAGGACTTTTGGATGCAAATTTGGGAGACTCCAGCAGAAAGCCTCAATTGGCTGGGACCACAAGAGCTACAAGAGCTAGTAAAGGCAACGTACAAAGCCTGAGGAACAAGAAGTAATTCGGCAGCTTGTGGCCAATTGGTGGGGACCGCGCAGAGGCTCAAAACAAGGAGATGAATTCGGCAGCTTGTGGCCGATTGGTGGGGACCACTGGATATCTTTCTTTTGGCTTTAAATAGGGAACAAACGTACAGAAGACGGCTGGCTTTTATTTTTGATCTCTAGTTTTAGTCTTTTAGTGTAGTTTTAGTTTTTCCTTCTTTTGACTGGCCTCTGACACACGTCAGGTGTTCGACAAAATTTCCCAACGGGAAAAACATCCTTTATTCCTTACTTGTTAGTAAAAAGAACAATGCCTTCGCAATTTATTAATTCGTGTGGTGATTTAATTATGCGGCGTGGCTAAGTCTTCCATCTAGTCAAGGGTCAACTCGACGGTGCAGTCCCGAAAATCTGTGAGATCTAATTAGTTTTCACGTGTTCCTTTATCTATTAATATTTGCATGTTGTCTGATTTAATTTTTATGGGATTATTTTATTAATTGGATGTCCAGGGCCCGATGTTCAATGTGATATATTAATCTCGTGCCAATTTAGTCAATTAAATCCGTAATTGTTTGATTGATTAATATTAGTGGCAACTGGTATGTTTACACATTAGGGGAACGTGCGATCTAATTTAAATAACCCTCGTAGCGTGTTATTGATTAGGGCTAGGTTTTTCTAGTTATTAATGCAATTGGAAAATTAATTCCTATGGTCGTACCTAGGAGTATTTGCTGATTAGGGGTAATCAACGGTCGTACCTTGGTTATCAATAATTTAAGGAAAAACTGGTCGTCGGACTATAACTAGCCTATTAATAAATTAAGTGAACCTCTGCTGCATCAATGATCAGATAAATGGACTGTGCTTGAGTAGTTGTATCTTTGGCTAGAATTTATTTATTCCTGATTAAATTCCTGCTATATTTGTGCCAGTGATTTATTCATTTTTAATTAAATTGTCTGATTATTTTTAGTTTCATTCCGGTAAAATCCCCCCTTATCAATTGGACTTTAAAAAGAGACAAATATCTCCAGTCCCTGAGGAGACGACCCTACTTGCCACTGTCTACTATTTAGTAATTTTTGTCAATTAATTAATTCTGGTATATCGGATTAAGCAAACTCTTCGGGAACAGGGTGAATCAAGTAACCCATTGCACACCTAGAGTCCCTACTCCAGTACCTAGGATTAATTATTGACTGCTCTTAGTGGTAGCTAGGTTCTATATTCATTATTATTATTGCACAGGTTGACGACCTGTCAATTTTTGGCGCCTTTGCCGGGGACTGGCGTTATTATTTGTTTCTTTTTAAATTCAATTTTTGTCCTAATTTTCTGGTTTTCTTCTAGTTTATGCCTCGATCTTCTCGCACAGGTGATTTGGTTTTTGACCCTGAGGTAGAGAAGACCGCGCGTAGAACGAGAAAGGAAACCAGACAGCTCAGAGAAGAGCACTCTAGTGCTACATCTCAAAGACCCGAGTCAGAAGTTGAACCAACAGATTCGTTTGGTAACACTTCGAGTGACTCTGACCAGGAGGAGTTCACCATGGCTAATGCACAAACATTAAGGGAGTTGGCTGCTCCTGATTTAACTCAGCAGCCTTTGTGCATTACTTTCCCCGCTTTAAATGACAACATTCCATTTGAACTAAAATCTGGTCTGATTCAGCTTTTACCCTCTTTTCATGGTGTACCAGGTGAAGAGCCGTATAAGCATCTGCAGGAGTTTGATGTCGTGTGCAATAGTATGAAACCCCCGGGAATCACAGAAGAGTAGATAAAAATGAGGGCATTCCCCTTCTCCTTGAAAGATTCTGCGAAGGACTGGCTGTACTACCTGTCACCAGGTAGCATCACCACGTGGGGCCAATTGAAGAAAAAATTTCTGGATAAATATTTTCCTGCGTCCAGGGCTGCAAGTCTAAGGAAGGAAATTTGTGGGATCAAACAGCATCCAGGGGAATCACTTTACGAGTATTGGGAACGATATAAGAACTTGTTGCGCAGGTGCCCCCAACACCAAATAAGTGAGCAGTTGATCATACAATATTTTTATGAGGGGCTCATTTTTAGAGACAGGAGCATCATTGATGCTGCAAGTGGAGGGGCACTGGTGAACAAAACCCCTCAGGAAGCACGGGAGTTAATAGAAGGGATGGCAGAGAATTCACAGCAATTCAGTACAAGAGAGGATGTCCCAATACGTAGGGTGAATGAGGTAGAGACACCCTCTATACAGCAGCAGTTAAATGAGTTGACTGCGTTTGTTAGGCAACAGGCTGTGAGAAATGCATCACAAGCCAGGGTATGCGGGATTTGCACTGGTATAGGTCACTCTGCAGACATGTGCCCAATGATTCAGGAAGAAACTGCAGAACAGGTGAACATGGCAGACCACGCGCCCGCGCCAAGGAAGCAGTACGACCCTTACTCAAGCACCTACAACCCCGGGTGGAGGGATCATCCCAACCTCAGTTATGGTGGGAATAGGCAACCCAACTTCACGCCGAACAGGCAGTCTAACTTTGTGCCAAATAAGCCACCAGGGTACCAGCAGCAATACCAACCCCGACCACCTCCGCCCCCTCAATCTGGTTCATCTACGGAGGAGATGCCGAAACAAATGATGACAACCATGGCGCAAAATCAGCAAAGGACGGAGGCAGCTATTATGCAAAATCAGCAAAAGACGGACTCCGAAATGCAGGACATAAGGAATCAGATAGGTCAAATGGCCACCAGAATCAACCGTTTGGAGTCCCAGAACCAAGGGAAGCTGCCATCTCAACCGGAGTTGAATCCGAAGAACGTGAGCGCAATGACCCTAAGGAGTGGGAAAGAAATTCAGGGGTCTGAACCTGTGATTCCCAAGGACAAGGATGAAGAGAAGATCGAAAATAAGCTCGAAAGGGAGGACAGCAATGGTGCAGATCAAAAGGTACTTCCTGACCCAATAATTACAGTTAAAACTAACCCGCCTCCTTTTCCTAGCAGGTTGGAAAAATCAAAGAAACAGGATAAGGAGAAGGAGATTTTGGAGGTTTTTCGCAAGGTTGAGATAAATATCCCCCTCTTAGACGCCATCAAACAAGTACCAAAATATGCCAAGTTCCTAAGGGACTTGTGTGTCAACCGAAGGCGATTGAGGGGAGATGAACGGGTCATAGTTGGGAAAAATGTGTCTGCGGTCCTGCAGAGGAAGCTCCCACCAAAGTGCGGGGACCCAGGTATGTTTACTATTCCCTGTAAGATAGGTAATACTGTGATCAGAAGAGTCATGTTGGATTTGGGAGCATCAATAAATGTCATGCCTAAATCTATCTATGCTTCTCTAAAATTAGGTCCATTAAAAGAAACTGAAATAATCATTCAATTAGCTGACCGAACTAATGCATATCCTGATGGGTTGGTTGAAGATGTGTTGGTAAAAGTTAATGATTTGGTGTTTCCAGCTGATTTTTATGTACTTGATATGGATGATGATCACTCCCCTGATCCCTCACCTCTGTTATTGGGTAGACCTTTTATGAGCACAGCACAGACGAAAATTGATGTTAATAAGGGTATTCTGTCCATGGAGTTTGATGGGAAAATTGTTCATTTTAATATTTTTGATACTATGAAGTACCCCTCGAACTCCAACTTTAGCTCAATTTTTTCTGTGAGTGCTATTGACCCTGTAGTGCAGGAAGTGTTTGAAACTGATGGCATGGATGAGCTGGAGGTGGCTTTAACCAAGCACCTCGAGTTGGAGACAACTCCTCAGGTGGAGTGGAGTGAGGATTTAAAATGCACAATAGGTGCATTACACTCATTGCAGACCACCACGAAGAGGTATGAAGTCTTACCTATTTTTACTCCCGAACCTCACTAGAGGGTGTTGCCATCTGTGGTGCAGGCACCTGTACTGGAGTTGAAGCCCCTGCCAGAGCACTTGAAGTATGCGTATCTGGGTGATAATGAGACACTCCCAGTGATTATCTCATCGGCACTGTCAAAAACCCAGGAGGAGAAACTGATCCGGGTCCTTAGAGAGCATAAAGAGGCGATAGGTTGGACAATTACAGATATTAAGGGGATCAGCCCGGCCATCTGTATGCACCGGATTATGCTAGAAAATGATGCAAAACCTGTTAGGCAGGCTCAAAAAAGGCTCAATCCCCTCATGATGGAAGTTGTAAAGAAAGAGATTTTAAAATTGTTAGATGTAGGGATCATCTTTGCAATATCTGATAGCCCTTGGGTGAGTCCGGTCCAGGTGGTCCTAAAGAAGGCAGGAGTGACGGTAGAGGCCAACCAAACGGGTGCTCGTGCCAGTGCGCAAACCCACTGGATGGAGGCAATGTATAGATTACCGTAGGCTAAACGCCGTCACCAAAAAGGACCATTTCCCTCTCCCTTTCATTGACCAAATGGTTGAACGTTTAGCTTGTAGGGCTTATTATTGCTTTTTGGATGGATTTTCAGGATACTTTCAGATAGCAATTGCCCCGGAGGATCAAGAGAAGACAACATTCACGTGCCCGTTCGGGACCTTTGCCTACAGACGAATGCCATTTGGGTTGTGCAATGCACCTGCGACTTTCCAAAGATGTATGGTGAGCATCTTTTCTGAGTATGTTGAGAAAATAATAGAAGTTTTCATGGATGATTTCAGTGTGTATGGTGATAGTTTTGATACGTGTCTAGATAACCTGAAATTAATCCTAATAAGGTGTATAGAGACTAATCTTGTGCTTAATTGGGAAAAATGTCATTTTATGGTTGAGCACGGGATAGTTCTGGGTCATATTGTATCGTCTAAGGGCATAGAAGTTGACAAGGCTAAAATAGACATTATTTCTGCATTACCTTACCCCGCGAGTGTGCGGGAGGTGCGCTCTTTTCTTGGGCATGCAGGTTTTTATCGAAGGTTCATCAGGGACTTTTCAAAAATTGGAGCCCCGTTGTTCCAACTCTTACAAAAAGATGTAGCCTTCGAGTTTGATGATAAGTGTGAGAGAGCATTTAACAAGCTGAAGGAATTGTTGACTTCACCCCCAATCATCCAACCCCCCGATTGGAATTTGCCATTTGAGATCATGTGTGATGCCAGTGATCATGCTGTTGGGGCTGTACTGGGGCAAAGAGTAGGAAAGGCGGCTCATGTCATCTATTACGCATTCCGGGCCTTGAATGGAGCCCAGTTGAATTATTCCACCACTGAGAAGGAGCTTCTTGCAGTTATTTTTGCTTTGGAAAAATTCAGGTCATACTTGTTAGGTGCTAAAGTGATCGTATTTTCTGATCATGCAGCATTGAGGTACCTGATGACCAAGAAAGATGCAAAATCGAGGCTCATACGGTGGATACTGCTCCTACAGGAATTTGACTTGGAGATAATGGACAAAAAAGGCTCAGAAAATCTAGTAGCGGACCATTTGAGTCGCATACTAGTTGAAGAGGATAGCGAGCCATTGAAGGATGCCTTCCCTGAAGAACACTTATTTTCCTTAAATTCTCAGTTGCCTTGGTATGCTGATTTGGTCAATTATTTGGTAACTGGTAATTTTCCTGCAGGTTGGCCGAAATCGAAGAGGGATAAATTGAAGAGCGATGCCAAGTATTTTATCTGGGATGACCCGTACCTATGGAAGAGGTGTGCAGATCAAGTGATGCGGAGATGTGTAAGTGAAGTGGAATTCCAATCGATTTTAGCTTTTTGTCATACTTTTGCCTGTGGAGGTCATTTCGGACCTAAGAGAACTGCTCATAAGGTTTTAGAAAGTGGATTTTATTGGCTTTCATTGTTTAAGGATGCCTATGTGTTTTGTAAGTCATGTGATCGCTGTCAAAGGGTAGGTAATGATAGCCCGTAAAGATCATATGCCCCAAGTCCCGATGATTTTTGTAGAAATTTTTGATGTCTGGGGTATAGATTTCATGGGTCCTTTTCCTACTTCATTTGGTTTTCTGTATATTTTGCTGGCAGTTGATTATGTGTCTAAATGGGTGGAGGCTAATGCCACTCGAACTAATGACTCGAAAGTGGTTGCAGATTTTATCAGATCTAATATTTTTGTGCGATTTGGAATGCCAAGAGCTATTGTCAGTGATAGGGGAACGCACTTCTGCAACAAAATCGTAGCTGCCTTATTTCGCAAGTATGGTGTACTCCACAGAGTCTCGACGTCGTATCACCCCCAGACCAATGGTCAAGTGGAGGTGTCGAATCGGGAGATAAAGTCCATCTTGGAGAAAATGGTGCGCCCCGATAGAAAAGATTGGAGTCAACGGTTGGAAGATGCACTCTGGGCCTATCGGACGGCATACAAGACACCTATAGGGATGTCTCCCTATAGGTTGGTATTTGGTAAGCCGTGTCATCTTCCAGTAGAGTTCGAGCATAAAGCATTTTGGGCGGTTAAGCAATGCAATATGGATATTGAGGAGGGCGGAATCCAAAGGAAGTTACAATTACAGGAGTTGGAGGAGATTCGCAATGAAGCTTATGAGAATGCGGTAATTTATAAGGAGAAAAATAAAATTTTTCATGACCAACAGATCTCAAGGAAGACATTCGAGTGTGGGCAAAAAGTTCTGCTATACCACTCCAAATTGCAGTTATTTCCAGGTAAATTACGTTCTCGTTGGATTGGCCCTTTTGTTGTGACTAATGTCTTCCAGTATGGTGCAGTCGAGATCCAAAGTTTGAAAGCTGAGAAGAAATTTGTAGTGAATGGTCATCGTCTCAAACCGTATTATGAAGGGGTTCCAACTGAACGGGTGGAGGTGATGCACTTGGAGGACCCTACTTGCTTAGTTTAAGCAAATTTTTGGACAATGTCTAGCCGAAAACATTAAAGAAAGGCGCTCATTGGGAGGCAACCCAATTGTTCCTTTTAATTGTTTATTGGTTTCTTGTCATTGTTTGAATCTGTTTTCCTTAAATTTGACTGATTTTGGGTGTTAGTTTTCGTTTTTGCTGGTTTGTAGGCGACCTTCAGTCATGACGCGCCCGCGTGATGATGTGCAGGACGCTCACGATCAGGAAATTCTGAAACTTCTGGGAGCTCTTCTGCCCTCATGACGTGCCCGCGTAGTGATGTGCAGGACGCTCACGATCAGGAAATTCTGAAACTTCTGGGAGCTCTTTTGACCTCTTGACGTGCCCGCGTCACGTTCGCGGGAAAGGTAAGGATTTGAAAAAAATATTTCATTATTATTATTGTTATTATTATTATTATTATTATTCCTTTCATTAAAAGAAGAAGAAAGATTATTTCAAAAAAAAAATAAATAAAATAAAAAAATAAAAAAATAGTAAAAAATACTAAAAAATAGTAATAATAATAAAAAAAATATTAATAAGAAGCTGGAAATTTTCCCTCTTAACCGTAGCAATTTCTTTTCTAAAAAAAAAAAAAAAAAACCAATTTTTCCTTCTTTTCTTTCTTTCTTTCTTTCTTTCTCCCCTGCTCTCTGCGCACGCCACAGCCGAATCCATTCATCGCCCCCCACGCCGCCGCTGTCTGGTTTCCCCTCGCACAGCCGCAGCCCGCCTCATCTCCACCAGATCTCCACCGTCCACCTCCACTTACCGCCACACACGGACGCCGCCCGCATCGAGCTCGCCGACCGCGCGCAACCTAGCCTCTCACTCGCACGCGACAGAAAGCCCCCCACGCCGCCGCTGTCTGGTTTCCCCTCGCACAGCCGCAGCCCGCCTCACCTCCAGCTCCTCCGCGTATCCGCCTCTCCCCACCGCACCTGGCGCGAGCTCTCCTCTCCTCTTCTTCTTCAGCTTGTCCGCCGCCAACTCAACTCCAGCTCACCCGCAGCCAGCCGCACGTCCTTCCTCTGATGCTGCGCTCTCCCTCTTCCCTAACAGGTGGAGGTATTCACCCCTAGAACACTTATACCCGATTATTTCCGGCACTATTTCTTGGACTTAATTGCTTGACTGGATTGGAAAATTCCGTGGCTGCATTATCTGCTTAAATTTATTTGCATTATTTGGAGGAGTTCCCTGCATTTGTTGAATTGGGTGGCATTTGTGCCAGTCTATCTGCTTTGTGCAATTTGGAAAATTTTATCCACCGTTGTGGGTGTTCTGTCCATTGAGTCCAGTGCTGACTCCTGTTTGGCTCTGACTATTGGTGCATAATTTCTGGGGACATTTGTTGATATTCTTGTTAGACTAGGTTTGCTTTTGACTGGGATTTGGGGTTGTTATTACTTTGGGTCAGCCGTGGGAATTGCTTCACTATTAGCTTTAATCGATTGTTGGGGTAATCCTGGTTGCTGTTTTGAATTGCTTGACTGGTTCACTTAAACTGGCCAACTGGAGCCATTGAGTTTTTAGGTGCTGTTATTGGATTCTTCTCCCTATAATCTGAAACCTCTATGGGGTTGAGTGTTTGGTTGACTGTCGTGGCCTTGTGACTGTGTTGCCTTGTGGAAAGTCTGAAACTGGTATTGCTGGATCTAGCAGTTGCTTGGGGAAATTGTTCAAGTTTTGGGTGAATCCAATTTATTTAGTTTTTTTTAAACAGTGAGCTGCAAGATCACTGTTACCGATTGTATTGCGTTCGCTGGGTCTCTGGTTTGTTGGCATTTCTTTATTTCTTGTTGGCATTGGCGAGTTGTTATATTTGTTGGGAATTTTGTTGATTAAGCTGATTGCTCCGAATCATGGTAAGGCCGAAATCATCCTCTAGGTCTAGGACCCCTCGTTCTCAGCCTCCCCCACAAGCCTCCATCCCTGTGAATACACCTACCAACCTACCATCTTCTTCTGGTGCTCGAACCCGTTTGGGTAGGGGTAGGGGTGCACAGGTAGATACTCCAGCTCACTTTGGGGGGCACCTAACCTTCACTAGACCCGCCGATCAGGAGCGATATGCTAAGGTCTGCGAGCGGCGGATTACACCAAGCAAGACCTGGGAAAAATTAACCGTCATGGGTCTGGGCATACGAGAGGAGGTCGAGCAGATATTTACAGCCATCGGATGGCGCTCATATCTCGATGTCTTATGCCCCGCCTTTGTCGAGCTGACTCGGGAGTTTTACTCCACCTTTGAGTTCGAGTTACCTACAAGATACACCGTTGACACACCACAGGTCATTCATTTCCGGCTCATGGGTCGAGAGTTCAATTTCTCCATTACACAATTCAATCGGGCCTTTGGGTTTGTCACTAGAGAGTATGCTGGGACTAGGGAGTATGCAGAGAGCGCCTGTGACTACATAGAGCCGTTCCTCTCCCACTACCATGATGTGTGGGAAGACATGTCCGTCGATCAGCAGCGCTACGATCCTTCCCGGTCTAGGAGCTCCTTTCTTAAGGACCCTAGTGCCCGCTATGTTCAGCGGTTCTCAGCCTACAGCTACTTGGGGCGCAAGGACAGCTCTGGCATACTCTCTCGCCCTGAGTTCTTCTTCCTATGGAGTATGAAGAACAATATCAAGGTTAACTTGGGGTGTTGGTTGGTCGCGCAGTTCAAGACCGTCTTGGCCAAAAAGAACAAGCCCCTTATCCTTGGGTCCTATATCACCCACTTGGCGATACAGTTGGGGGTTCTTGACCTGGAGGACCACGACCTACATTTGGCGTGCGAGATGGAGCTCTTGGACGTAGACTGCTTGGAGAGGATGGGAGTCATCGAGCGCCTGCCTAATGGTTCCTACCAGTTCATGCCTCCTGGACCACCTAGAGCTCCGGGTGCGCATCATTCATCCCGGGCAGGGCCCTCCTCCTTTCCTGGATCAGCCGAGGATACAGCTGGGCCATCTTCTTCTGCGCCACCTCCGCCGCATGGGACTACTGAATGGCAGCAGCTCCGGGAGCAGGTTCAGACTATGCAGGCTCGGATGGTCAACGTTGACGCTAATGTCGCCGGCATAGCACAGAATTTGGCGCAGTTTCTGATGCATACAGGCTTTGCACCTCCGTTTCCACCTCGCCGTCCGCTATGACCCGATTTCAGGGAAGTTTGGCTGATTCCCCTCTCTCTTTTGCTTCACTTTTGGTTATTATTTGTCACATTGAGGACAATGTGTCCTATAGGTGTGGGGGGAATGGGTCTAAAGTGGTGCTAGTGTTTTCCGTTTTTAGTAGTTTTTAGTTCTTAGTAATTTTTAGTTTTCAGTTTTAGTTCTTAGTTTTTAGTAGTTTTAGTAGTTTTTAGTTTTTAATAGTTTCTAGTTTTATTAGTTTTTAGTTTTAATTCTAGTTGTTTATTTTTCTTTCTTTGTGACTATTAATTCTAGTTTTAATTCTTAGTTTTAATCCTATGTGACTATTAAAAAAAAAACAAAAACAAAAAACAAAAACAAAAAACAAAAAAATTATTATTTGGTTTATTGACTCTAGTTCTACTTTTGCCAAGTTCTTTTTAAATATAATGTATCGGGTTAGTGTGGTTGGATTCGAGATGTCTCCTTGGTGAATATCGGACTGCTTGGTTCTTTTGATTTCCGTGTTAACTTTTCTAGGCATTGGGAATGACTGTTGTCATTTTAATGTGAACTGGTCCAATATTGACTCCAGTTCTCCATGTTTGGCAATAATGAGGCGAGCTGCCCCTATGTTTAGTTGTTAGTGCTGTTATTTTGCGTTTCTGCTTTGATTAGCTGTGAATAAGCTTGACTGTACTCCTCTATTGGCTACTACCGAGTAACCGGGAATCTGCACCTAAAAGTGTCGATTCTCGCGTCAAAAGGTGGTACTTAATATGAGTACGTGGTTGCATAGCGGTAGGAGCTGAGTAACCGGGCTCCTTCATCTAAAAATGTTGGAGTTCGCGTCAAAAGGCTCCGGCGGCTAGAGACTAAGTCTTCGTGTGTCAAATATTATTATGTGCTTTAAAAAAAAAAGAAAAAAAGGAAAAAAGAGAGAATACATAATAGGGAAGCTTGCTGGTTTATGGACTCAATATGGGGACTTGTGTGAAGATTTGGACCATTAACTGATAAATGCTGTGTGTCATTCCTTTTCCTTAGACTAGTTAATTTGGAAATTGAAGGAGTTTGCGGTAGAGGCTAACTGGGGGGATGTTTCTCGGATTTTAACTACTAGTGCCAGATATATGATTTTCTCTTGAATCTCTTGGCAATGTGGTAGATTAGAGTGATGACCGATATATGATTTTTGGGGTCTGTCCACTTTTCCCATGCTTGAGGGCAAGCATGATTTAGGTGTGGGGGGAATTAATAGGGTATAATTTGTTAGTAATTTTATTATTAATTTCCCCTTCTATCCCGGACAAATATTGTGTTAATTGCTTATATTTACTCATATTTGGTATCTGGACCCAATTCCAGGAGTGGAGCAGATAACTACAAAAAAAGGGACTTTTGGATGCAAATTTGGGAGACTCCAGCAGAAAGCCTCAATTGGCTGGGACCACAAGAGCTACAAGAGCTAGTAAAGGCAACGTACAAAGCCTGAGGAACAAGAAGTAATTCGGCAGCTTGTGGCCAATTGGTGGGGACCGCGCAGAGGCTCAAAACAAGGAGATGAATTCGGCAGCTTGTGGCCGATTGGTGGGGACCACTGGATATCTTTCTTTTGGCTTTAAATAGGGAACAAACGTACAGAAGACGGCTGGCTTTTATTTTTGATCTCTAGTTTTAGTCTTTTAGTGTAGTTTTAGTTTTTCCTTCTTTTGACTGGCCTCTGACACACGTCAGGTGTTCGACAAAATTCCCCAACGGGAAAAACATCCTTTATTCCTTACTTGTTAGTAAAAAGAACAATGCCTTCGTAATTTATTAATTCGCGTGGTGATTTAATTATGCGGCGTGGCTAAATCTTCCATCTAGTC